CCCCCTCCACTCTGCCCCCTCCACTCTGCCCCCTCCACTCTGCCCCCTCCACTGCTGCCCCAGCTGAGGAGAAGAAAGTGGAAGCAAAGAAGGAAGAATCTGAGGAGTCTGATGACGACATGGGCTTTGGTCTTTTGTTAACATGTCCAACAAAAAGATGAACCTGTAAAAATAAATGAAAGCTGTCTCTGCAGTTGGAACATGGCTCTCCTCTAAACCCAAGCTTGTTAGAGGAAAACCCAACATCTCTGTCTCATGTCAGAAGAGCCACCTGACATGGGACAGAAGAAAAACCAAAAATCAAGGACTATTCTATTGTCACTGATCTCATAATTCTTTGGAAGTAATTTTAAGAACACAATACCCAGATTCCCAGAAGGTGGGGTGGGTGGATTTTGGTTGGTTGGTGGGTTATGAATGTTTAACATGGTTTAGAGGGGTTGGTTACAAGATGTTATTGGTCGTGATCAGGGGGAAAACAAAAGAAGTTAGATTGAGGGATTTCTTTCTAAGAAAATCTAAAAAGGGGGTAGATATAGGAATGCTGGGATAAAAGGGTAGATTAGTGAATCTACATCTAAACTAAAGAGCAGCTAGTCATCTTAAATGTTTTACATTGGTATGGATTTTTGTATGTTGATGCAAATTTAAGGTTTTTTTGTTACAACATGATATACATGTGTGTGTGTGTGTGTTTCTACCCTTATTTAAGGTATTGTAACTAATGTGCTACAGCACATTAAAAAATGTAATGTAAAGTTCTAGTCCTTGAAAGCTATTATTACAAACTGTTTAGGATAATTAAGAAAATTCAGGTTAGTAGTTAGTCGCCTGTTACAATCAAACTTATAGTATCTTAGGTATGTTTTCAAGGTCAAACAGTGTATGTTTTAGATAGACAGGTGATCTTCAAACACTTCAGAGACCTACAGAATATGGCATTTAAGATGTTTTAATAACATGATGCTTTTCATGACAGTGAGACACATCTACTCCTGGCAGCACCAATTTACTTCAGAAAAGGATGATGGGCATCGAAGAACATCTGTATAGAGTTTGCTTTCATTGTGTCAAATTAGCCACTGGGCAAGAAACTGCCCTTACCTCAACTGCTGACAGTATGCTGTACAAATTGAACAAGGAGGACACAAAAGAAAGGACTGCCGAACTTTGCCAAGACAAGGCAGGACAGTCCTTCAAAAATCCTGCTTCACAGAAAAGTCTGTCAGATATGCTAGGCCTGTGGGCTGAAGATGGATGCCTCAACATTGCAGAGGAACCTTGGGTGGCTGTCCAGGCAGCCAGCTGTTTCTGTCATTTCTATAGTTTTAGAAGTGCTTGCTCTGTACTTCCTGTTTACTCAGGTAATATTTATCCTTCTCGGGTCTTTGATGGTGTGAAGACTAGATAGTTACAGTTTTCCTTGTTTCCAAATCCAGAAAAGAAACTCACAAGAGAGATTTGAAGTTTATAAAGGCTGAGAGACGTAAAAAACTTCAGTCACTTCTCTAAGAAAATGTTTTAAGGTCTAGTTATGATAAAAAGCAAATTAGGTACAATGCTTTGGACTCACCAAGATAGGATAGATAATTGAGTATTCTCTCCAAAACTGCCAAATACAAATGGACTGGACGCTGTGAATGTAATCCGTGCCTGGTAATCGTCCTATTGTATACAGTTTTATTATGTTAGTGTTAAAACCTTTTCTTCTTATTTAGACAAAAAGAGGGAAACGTTGCAGGATATTTGTTTGCACTGACACTCCAAGATGGTTAATAAAATTTACTTTGAATTAGAGGGCAGAGCTAGCGACCAGTAGACCAGATTTAGCCACAGAGGTTTTGGAGGACCCAGGAAATATAGAGACACACAGGAAGTAGCAGGGAGGGGCTTAGAAAGAGTTGTGGGCATCACAACTTCTGGATCAGGGAGGGAGGGAGGAGTCCACTGATCACTTCTCCGCTGCTTCTCTGATCGATCAGGTTTTTGCCCCTATATTTGACTCCTGAGTTTTTTTAAATAATAATAAATAATAAATTTATAATAAATTTAGACAAACTCATCAGACATACACCAAAGACCTGAAGACCCAGAGCCAGCTGTGGTCACGGAGGAAGACGGATGAGGAGTTCAAGGCTAGCCTCGGCTATATAGTGAGTCTCAGGCCGGCCTGGGCTGCCTGTGTGGTGCTCGCCTGCGATCCAGCTCCAGGGGCAACAGTTGCAATTCCTTTTTCTTTTCTTTTTTGGTTTTTCGAGACAGGGTTTCTCTGTGTAGCTTTGCGCCTTTCCTGGAACTCTCTTGGTAGCCCAGGCTGGCCTCGAACTCACAGACATCCGCCTGGCTCTGCTGGGATTAAAGGCTTGTGCCGCCACCGCCCGGCAACAGTTGCAATTTCAAAGTCACCGGTTCCGGTCATCCAGGGTGACAGACTGTCATCAAGCTCCTGTTGGCAAGCGGCTTTACCCAGTGAGCCTGGTGACCTGAGTTCAAGCCACACGGTGGAAGGCTGGAACCAGGGAGCAGGGCCCCACAAGCCGTCTTCCGACCTCCACACATGCTCTGTAGCCAGGGTGCCTACACATGAACTTACCCAAAATAAATAGATGTAAAAAAAATAAGGTAACAACTAGGACATCGATAACAGTAACAACTATTTCCATATGGCTGGGTTGCGCTGGGCTGGGTTTGTTGATTGACTAAGCGACTGCATGGGCAGATGATAAATTCATGGATGAGAAGCGTCATCATCTGTTCCTCAGACCTGTGAAGCATCGCGGTGCGGAGCGCAGGTTCCCCAGCAGGCGCACGGTTTCAGAAAGCGTCCCTAAGGGAGGGCATTTGATCCCATTTCCACCTCAGCACCATCTCGGGAGAAGTCCCACTTTGCACACGAGGATGAGCGGGTTATCCCGGACCCTGGATCCTCACAGAAGCCGGTTTGCCACTCAGTGTCAGGTGATTCCCGCGTCAGGAAGCGCAGCCCTGCTGCATTGGCTATGACGGTATTGTCACCGTGCCACAATACCTGCCCAGAATCCCCGGGGAGGGATGGGGGCGTGGTCAGGGTGGAGCCCCGCCCAGAATCCCCGGGGAGGGGCTGGGGGCGTGGTCAGGGCGGAGCCCCGCCCAGAACCCCAGTCGGGGCTGGGGGCGTGGTCAGGGTGGAGCCCCGCCTAGAATCCCCAGTGAGGGGCTGGGGGCGTGGTCAGGGTGGAGCCCCGCCTAGAATCCCCAGTGAGGGGCTGGGGGCGTGGTCAGGGCGGAGCCCCGCCCAGAACCCCAGTCGGGGCTGAGAACCTGGACTTAACCCACGTTACCGCAGCAGTAAATAAATAACAAGATTGAACTGAGTCTCCTGTAAAGAATCCGGGAGCCCCGAGAACAGTTCCGAGTCGTCAGCCCACAGCGCAGACCGATGAGCCGCCCCAGCGGTCCCGGAGGGGGGGGTCTTGCCCTCGGCCACCCCGCCCGACGCCGCGGAGCCTCCTCCTCCCGGCCCGGGCCCCCTCCCGTCGGCCCCAGCTGTCCCCGGCCACCTGTTGCTGTCCATCACGGGCCACCGTCCTGCGTGCTACCGCGTTTGGGGCCCAGCTCGGAGACTGTAGGGTAAGAGGGGCTGCGGGGGGTCCCGGGGCGCGGGGAGGGGACCGCTGATGTCCACCAGGGTCCCCAGTGCCGATGACCCCCCCACAGGGAGGGCGAACCCCCTGCCTCGCCTGTGTTTGGGACCCTCCCCCCACGGGGACGTCTGGGTTTTTTTTAATTTCATTTTTAAATGACATTTTAAGATTTTTATCGTCTGTAAGTGTACGTGCTCAGGTTCGTGTTAAGGTGCCCTGTGGTCATCTGATGATGACCTGGGGGGTCTAGCCTCTGCTTCCTGCTGTGGGTTGTGGGTAAAGGGGATTGAACGGCCGGGCGGTGGTGACGCACACCTTTAATCCGGGCACTCGGGAGGCAGAGGCAGGAGGATCTCTGTGAGTTCGAGGCC